AATTAACTGGAAAGTAAAAAAAAAATATATATATATCTGCTATCTCTATAAACTTAAAGTGTCTCTACTAGGTTTTGAACATATAACGACAACTGAAGCTATATATACAATGCAGTAATTACAATTAATAAATGATATCAAATTAATATAATATTTAGCAATATTAAAGTATCATAAAGGAGACAATAAAATTTCGATATCATTTAAATGTTAAGAGGACACATTACATAATGTAATATTGATATTTAACATTTTCCATTAACATCATCGTTTCTCTCATCTGCTGCCGCTTATGATTATATGGCGGATTCTGACATTTCTAAAACAATTTGTGATTACAAAAACCGAAGGCTGGGATGAGTCAAAGTCATCAAACATTAGAGAGCCTGTACGAGGCCAGCATGTCGCTCGCATGTTAAACAGTTGTTGAAGTGTTGAAAGAACTCATTATCCAATTGCTGACAACAAAACATATATTGCGCTACCGAAAATAGTTGTAGTATTGTCACTATGAATTTATTAAAATGTTTCAAATTGTGCGAAGACTGTAACGAAGGTGGCACCGTGCAAACATATGCAATGACAACACACCGCGATGACATAAGACATCTCGAGATACCTCGACGTTTTCTATGGCAAAACAATAGCCATTTGTTTTTATACTAATACAATTTAATAGTGAAGTAGGTTAGTTATTTAATATTATTTAATTTTGTGTGAAATAACGAGAGTAGTAGGTATCTTACAATTATAAAATAAGGTTTTATTTTTGCAGCGTTGTCGTTCTAGTTTTAGCCAGTAATGTGTAGTCAAGGCTATTTTCAAAAATATTTCAGATTGAAAGTTCAGGCTTTCTGCACTCGTTGGGGTCGTTGGAAAGTGTTCGGTGAAGCGAGACGCGGGTGCACGCGCGCGCGCTTTATTAGTTGCGCCACTGACTAAAGGTCGAACGCGAAATAATCGATGAATTGAAATTATACGCCATATTACCCTCCTAATGCCATGACAGAGCTATATGTTTAATAACATATATTTTTAAATTGGTTCCAAATAACCAGTAGCATCGTTAACCTAATTTTAAACATATTTCTACAAACAGTTCATCAAGAATATTTCACAAGAGTAGTTTGTGGATTTTGAAATGATATACATACATTAGGTGCGAACATTTCGTTTAACCGACGGAGCAATATATCACATTATTTTATTAAATGTGAACGCAGAACTGAATATTACGATCGTTTTGGCGAGGAATGAGGTAAACAGTAACATTTTATCACTATGAGTGTTTCTTGTTCTGAAATAGCAATAGAATGCTATAATATATAGAATATATATCTATACATACATGGTTACTTGAAAGATTGAAATATTTTATTATTCGTAACTAGATTTGTTGATGCCAGATTCGTGCACAACAATATATTTATGTTAAAGTTCGCACTGAAAATATTTATGAATAACATCGAGGAATTACTATTTATATAAAAAAATATTTGTTGTATCATATCTTTTTAAATGAGGTGCACATAATGCATAATATGCGAGTATTAGGCGGAAAGGGATTATTAGTAATTCGGATATAAGAACCCTATTGCTAGCAATATACTCTATCAGTTCAACCTCCATGGAGTTTACTCTGAAAACCATCTTAATTAATCTTTATGAATTCGTCACTATGTGCCAACTGACCTGTTTGATCCTTATTTATCATCTCCTACTGGTGCTATGCCAATGTATACCGATAGCGTAGCCGGGGTTACAATTCCATTATAACCCTTTAAAAAAATATGCGAGTACTTTCATATGATAAATATTTTTTGTATTTTTGTCAGTTCTATTTTAGATATTATTAATATCTATATTAAAAAAAGACACGCCTAATAATTTAACTGAATAATATAAATAAAACCATCAAAAAGTTTCTTTAATGGGTGATAATGAAATGGTCACGCCGCCTGCGCTATCAGTATACACTGGCGGAGCACCAGTGAGTGATGATAGGTGATGATGAAAGCAGGTCAGTTAGCTCATTGTGATGAATTCCACTAGAATTAACCATGACAGTTTTCAGGGGAAACCACGTGGAGGTCAACCTGATAAGGTGTATTGCTAAGAATGAGGTAGTTAGACCCCATTCCTTTCCCCCCAATCAAAAGGTTTGACTTTAGTGATAATTAATAAGTAGAATACAAGTATGTATAGGCAGAAACTACCTAATGCCATAATTATTTGTTTACGAAGGTTAAGACGAAGTTAATTGTATATTTATTTAACAGAAATGAACTATTTTATTCAAGTAACTAAACAATTGTCAATTTCTTTTAAATAAAAAAAAGGCTATCACGTAAAAGCCGTCACTAAAAATCTCTTATTTTATTGGAATGGCTTTATAATTTTATTAATTACAAATACCAGACATTAAACAAAGTGTACGGTCTATATTTTTTATGCAACTGTGGAAAACAAGCATACGGCCCGTCTGAGCGTAAACGGGGATATCGAAGCCTATGGACACCTGTAACACTAAGGACGTCACGCGTGGGTTGTCGGCCCTTAAGATATCTTAATGGTCTCTTTTTGAAGAACACCATGCTGTGGTCTCTATTTATTAGTTATTTATAATTATATTTAGACTAAATAGATAGATACTCTTTATTGTTTCCAATAATATATCCAAAGATTACAATAGTAAACTTATTATAAATATAAATAATTACAAGAAATAATATTAATTTATATCATTATAAATATATATGAGGAAATTAATTCATTATTTTGTAATTAAATCATATCTACCTATAAGTTATTTTTATTATTTATACTTTCTGTTTTACGTATATATGTACTTAAGAAAACCAGTATGGAAGTTTGAACTTTTTGTAATACTATACCTTTGAATTGCAAAATAGATAAGAGAAAGTAAAATTGTACTGTATTGGGAATTCGTGAGTAAAATATAGTAGGTGTTAAATCAACTTTCTTATCTGATATTAAATGCCAAAGGGATGCATATGAATGCTAATTATTATGTAGTTAATAAATTTGAAATTTTTAAATAATATTATTACATAAGATACTACTGGTTGTTTAAAGATAAATAAATGATTTAAATGGGCGTTAGAGGTACAAGTTTTACCCAATTAGAAATTAAATTTCGAATTTGTCTCTTGAGAAAATTTGTGCAGTTTTATTAATACTGTCATTGGGTTTGGCTTGTTCTACCCTTTACGCTAGGAGGAAAGGGATTGTTAGTAATGAGATTTAAGAGCCCTATCACTAGCAATACATCTTATCAGGTTGGCCTCCACGCGGTTCCACCTGGAAACCATAGTGGTTAATTCTTATTTAATTGGTCACTATGGGCCAACTGATCTGTCTCCATCCTCAAATGTCACCCGTCACTGGTTCCTCGCCAGCGTACACCAATAGCGCAAACAGGGTTACCATTCCATCTTCATCCATTAAAAAAAAGTACGCTTTACGCTTAACACTATAGATATTTATCTCCAGGTTTCCTTATCTTATTATACTCCTCTAAATGATTTGTTTCAATAATAGTAGGATATGGATTTAAAAATCATATACCTCCCTATAGCAATAACTTTGTTTATACCTGTCTTGTAAGGAACCTAAATAAATACGATAAATATGTATGTAAAATACGTATTTATCTCAATGCTAAGTTCAAATGACAATCCAAATAGAAATAAAGGTCAATAAGGTAAGACGAACTAATGAAACCTATGATTAAAGGGCACACCATCTGATAGAATGACCCGTCAGGTATCAGTCACTGTGACGATCCTATTACAATGGTCACGAATTACTCTAACGGGGGGAAGGGGGGACACGTCTGTCTTTAGCACCAAAACTGCAGTACTATTATTCTACACATATTGTGTCTATCGGTTTCGGGTTGCAGCAATTCTTATCTTCTATACATAATACTTGATGAATTAGTAAAGGCCCGTAGCCTCTTATAATTAGACAAGGTCTTTAGCTTACAGATAATGGTATCTTCAGCCCATTGATCTCGTAGAAATAGTAACAATAGGTTACGATTGTCATTTTTATTTTTTCAACAAATAATGGTAACTATCTCAAATTATATCTAATTACATATTCTTAAAACACAGAACGCCGTGCAAGTTATAAAACACGCTGAGAGAGGCTGCTCAAACTCAAGGATTTGCTACCGCTAGTGAGCTTAAAATTGGTGACAATCTTCACAGCTTTTCTTTGATCTGCTTGATGACAGTAAATTTTCAGATGCTAGCTCACCTTTATTTAAAATGACTTCGAAATTGAAACATTCCATACCAACGTCAGGGATGTATTTTCTAAGAATTCCGGTGTTTTCAGATTGATATTTTGAATTGATAAATTGATGAACTTATAATGCTTTTTATACACGACTTCACATGATAGATGACATAAAATAACTGCATATAGCTATTGTCTCTATAATTCAAATACAGTTAAAAGATCTTCTATAATCAACAATAATTATTTGTAATCGTTGAAAGTACAAAATGTTGCTACTGTAACTAAGCCCGGTTATTAGGGTAATGATAATATTGTGACAACGACAGTGATATATCTTGTAGATATATTGATATAGAGGCATGGCGACACGTGTCTAACAACTAAACCAGTTCTTACGATCCGATTGCAACTGGCCTAATCACTCCTTCGCCGACTGCCCGGGTGACCACTCGGTCAAGTGACCAACCACCTGTCAGGTGGGTACTAATTTCATCACCAAATTAACAAATACGTTTACCAGTAATTATGTATTTACTTATGCTAAATGTTTGTAATTAACAATGTAAAATACCTATACGATAAGATCAGGAATACTGAATAATGTTAGGAATAATAATATTACCTATATATGTACTCGAAGATAAAAGTGCATAATGCTATGGAAGATTAAGAGGTGTAAAAAATCATATGTACTTATAATAAAAATGTCATATTGAGGGGTTAATACTTACGTAGAAGTGAGGCAATATCCAATGTTGTTGGCAATCGAAACAACTACAAGTTACTAAGATTTAAATCCTTATTAACGTAGGAAACTTTGGCAACGTTATAAATTCACGTATTGCAATTCACAGATGTTATCCGACAATATCCATTAGAAACGTCCAATGTATCCGAGTGTAGCGAAACTTTTTTGGCGGAAACGTCACTACCGATTGTTTCAGTTACGAGGAAAAAATCGAAAGAGCGATACGTAACGCCGTGCGGCGGGAGTTGGCGAAACTGACGTACGCAGCGCGCAGGCGCCGCCAAGGTATTGTTAAAAGTTACTTTTACTTACGCGACTTGCGGCATGGCTGCGGCTCTAGGCGGTTCGGTGGCGAGACCTTGCGGTCGCTACATCGCTGATATCCACTATATGCTTAAGAAAGAGAAAAACAGAGGTTTGTGACTTCACTTAGGGCATGCGTCTCGGAAAAAAAATATTTTTGCGATATATCTTTAATAGTACCTAAGAATATTTATGCAAGATTATAGTAAATTATTGCTATGCAAAGTATTGGTTACGGTTCATTGAAATTTTAGGTGAATATTGCCATATTTCCTTGCGTATCGACTAGGCAAGGAACGGGAAAATGGTGATTACTAGGCCATCACATGTAGGTAGACGGAAAGACGTTGCACTGTGGAATTTATTAATTAGCTTATTGTAACTGCAATATGTGTAATTTTATTTTATCAGTTGTTTAAAATAAGATGTTGTGAAATGAAACAATAATTACCTACTGTCATAGTATTTTAACGAACTAATTGAAGATACAGGGCATAAAACCATCCAGCCCAATTTATTTCACTTATCCTGATATTAGGCATCATTTCTCTGGACATATTTCTTTAAGTAACTATTCACAGGGGTTGAGGGATGAATTTATCACTCATTTGTACCATAATTATACATTTATAACTTAATTGTACCATATTATTATGAAACGTGTACGTTATGAAGTTAAAAGACGTGAATCATTCCCAAATATTTGTAATGCAATGCAATTTGTATAGGCAATTGTAATATTATACTAAAAATGCTCCCTCAGAAGAAGCGGTTAAATTAATTTAGTTAAAGTAGGGACGAGGGTTAGTTGTTAAATTCTTGTATTTTGTTACAGCTATGGTGGTACTCGTATATTATAATTAAATAAACCCATTGTGATAAGAAATTTAAAAAAATCGCATATTTACATTTGCTAGAATGATAGACTGTGTTATGAGACAACGAGTATCTGATTTTTGGTAAACAATGCATATTTTAACTTTTGTTAAATAAAAACTTCAGAGAAAAAGTACAATTTGCATGAATTTAAACCATGATGTTAATTATGAGCATATTTGGAAATAAACTACGAAACAGCTCTGAATTTAATTTTATCGCGTATCACTTTAAATATCTGGTCGAATATGGTATGCAAAATGTAGATAGTTTGTGCCAAATTTGTGGCAATCTTACGTGACAAACCTCACGTAGTTAGGATGTGACGGAGAATGGCAAGTTTAATAATTCGTGAATTACGTTCGTATAGTGATATTTTACCTCAAGTTTGAAGAATAACCTATCTAAACTTTAAATTGCTGGGTAAGATAAGCTTCTTCTCTCCTCTGTAGCATGTTCTACCAAACCAATAAGAGTAGTGGTCATTAACCCTCTGACCGTGTATTTTTTTGTTTTATTTTCGCACATCGCTTTGACAACAAAAAGTGCGAGTATTTAGCCATTTAGTGAGATTTTAAGAAACAATATCAATCTACCAAAACAAAATATATATAACATCGTCAATGTCAACGTCAGAGGGTTAATGTTAAATAATTTGCTGATTGTAGCTAGCGACTTAAATACAATTTACACCTTAAAGATTACTTTTTAAACTTTTTATTAGGGATAGAAACCAGGACCAAAAATTTTGAGTTGAAAAAAATTTTTGGCTTAAATGAAAACTTTAATTGAAACACGGGTCAGCATCGATTTATAGATGACCGCATTTTGCTTAACCTTTTTGATTGACATTGACCAAATTCGGCAGTCAGAGCAATGAAAGCTTTTTAAATGATGATCAGTAGCAAATCAGTATATTAATCAATATTATGATGAAACTACTCAATTAAAATGTATCACGATTTCTGTATATCTTTATATATGTACATTTCCCCATTTAAATCCTTAAAAACATTGAAATAGATGTTAATTATTATATTGATGTTCAATTAACCTAATTATTAATGGTTTCCGAGATATGCAGAAATAATAAAGGTACCTACGACCTAAATTAAAATGGTGCAGTTAGAAACATTTTCATATTCCGCAGAGAATTATAGGCACTCCGAGCGCTTTTGTTTGTTTGTATCTATTATTATTTACAGACAATGAGGCTACCATGCTCTTCCTGGGAATTAATGTATTAATATAAAATTTTGGTATCTAATTTATATGCGTCTATAACTGTAGCTCATAACGTTAGATTATGATATGTTGATAGAATTTGAAAAAATCTGAACCAGAAAGAAAGTCACACAGAGATATACACCAGTTTAAAGATAAACATAGAGTACTATAAATGTAGAGGTTCTGCGACAGACTAAACAACGGCGTAAGTTATGACTGTCATAAAAAAGCGAAAAACTTTGTAATTTGGTCACGTATTTAGATGCGACTGATATCAACTCTACACGTGATTATGATGGACAAAATTGCTGACAAGAAAAGGGCAGTTAAAAGCCGTACAATATCCGAAAGGAGACGGGTATCATGTTTGCAGCTAATATTCATCCGATACTGGATTTTATTTCATTTCACAAGACTAGAACAGTTTCCGGGAGCTGGTCTTAAAAATGAAATTGAAAAGTGATAACATTGTCTATGCATAAACGGCACTTGCATATCAGCACTTGGGTATTATAGAATATATCATGACATCTTTGGTATCTTTCTGGGTTAACTTTGCTGAGTACTGTTATGTTTCTTATGTTAGAGATAATACAGTCTATAACAATGCAAGCATTACAGCTCTATTGAACAAGCTATTTATCCAATTGAGTAGGACAGAACTCTACCAAAGTTTTAGTTTTGATTTCAAAATAACGACCGTTTTGTGATTCGCATTTGATGGAATTTAAAATAAAAAAAATGTGTTTAGACGGTTTTCATTTATATTGATATATCCTCATATAATATAAACTGAAAAAGGTTTACAAATTTTAATTGCATAAATTTTAATCAATTTTAGACTTTAACTCAATTATCTACTGGCGAGGTCAATCAACTATTAAGTCTTTTTAACGTAAAAACAGTATGGAATTTTTGTGTTGCAACCTGTGCTCAAGGGTTTGCATCAATCGCATTGTCTATCAAGTGATAGAGTGGAGTTTGGCACGATCGTGTTCTCTATGGCCTCGCACGCAACCCAATGATCTGATTCAACGCCCGTATACGAGTATATTAAGAAACTATAGAATATATAGGGCAATATACAATTTCACCGATCAATCTCGATCGATAATGTTTTTGAGGTCAGTAGGATATTGATAACAAAGATGCAGGTGGGTAATATAAATGGAATTAAGTTGGTCGTGGTCAAGTTATCTTTCGGTAAGTACATTTCATATAGTATTGAATAAAATGTTGTATTTATGTTAATTATATATGAATGTTTGTTAAATAGAGTACTACTTTTATTTGTTCACAAATTATTATTATTTTAATCTTGACCAGTTTCTTCCTTTTAAGGCATTTATCAGAGGTTTACAGTTCTGTTTTACTCTGTGCTTTAATTGAAGTATAATATAAAATATAAATAAATATTATGTACCTAGGTAGTTTAAAGACGTAATGTATTTTATATAAAACAGTTTTCATATACAATAGGATAATAAACCTGTCATGGTTAAAAAAAGAAAAACATTTTGTGGAAAAGTACAAGTATTTCTGTGCTAGTTTGCATATAAATTTAATGTATCAAGTGCGACAAACACCATTAGTTCGTTCATTGCTTCCGTAAATGTGATGTTTTCTGGTAGTCAAAGTTTATAGGCCGCCTTCGTTATATATGGAGGTCTCTGACGTTTTTTAGTAAATAACAGCTTTGCCCTCCGATTAGAGATGGGCAATCCACCTGGGTGGGTTTAAAGTCTGGTGGGTAAAAACCGGGTGTTTTGGGTTTATGTAAACACCCAAATTTTTTGTTTATGATTTTGTAATTAATCATCGTCATCTCAGCCGCAAGACTTCCTCTATACTGTACATAGACAATATTATTATGCAGCCTACAGAATAAAAAACTTTTAATTTGATTTTGAGTTTATTAAGAAAGAGATGAAAGTAAAATGTAAAACTACAGTCAATCACTGTCAGATTCAGAGTTATTACAAGCGATGAATTGTATAGGTTCGATAGGCTCTATTTCGTCTAAACTGTTATGTTCATTTACTTGCTCAATGAAAGCTTCTAAGGTATTTTCTTCATTAAACTGAATGTCCTCGCATTCAGCTTTATGTTTAAGATTCCAGTTATAACAAATGAATGAAATTTTTTCAGTTCTTTCAGTTGTAAGTCGATTTCTTTTGTTATTATGTATGTAGCCTTGGATACTAAAGGAACGCTCAGTGGCTGCCGAAGTACAGGGAGCTGATAGAATACGAATCGCTACTTTGCTTAACTCAGTGGAACCACAAATACCTTTCCACCATATTAGGGGCTCCATGCTATCTAATGAGCTCCATACAAATCCTCTGGCCCAAAAGTTTTCTTTAGCTTTATAACACGCCAAATCTGCCATTACATTTGACAAACTTAAGTGTTGGCTTAAATTGTAGATAAACTCCATACCATTAAGTTCTTCCTATTGAGTAAGTTCGAATCATATAGTACTTTGGTCTAGATTATATGCTGCAAAATGTATTGGCCTCATTGCCATATTGCATCTTTATGATTAGAATGCTCAATGTCGAAATCTCATTTAATGCAAAACGTATCTTAGTTACATCTCTAAATGTAATGTACTGCAAACGATTCTGGTCGCTCTCTAAGTAAAATATGCTTTTTTTATTCCCCTGTCTTCGTTCATCATAGAATTAAATCTTTAATATCTCTTATATAACTGTTAATATTTGCAAAGCTATCTTATTTGCTTTCAAACTTTTTAACGAAGTAACATGACTTCCCCATCTTGTAGCACAAGGCAATTTTAGTGTTTGTGTAGAATCTTCACCCTGCCTTGATTTTATCAACAAGGAACTTAATCGTTGACTCCTTTTAACAGTTTTTATTATATTTATGGCTTGCAT